TGCATGGGCAAAAGAATTGATCAAAGTACAAAACCGACCAACGGATATTTAGACAGGAAATATAGACAACGCTCCGGATTTCCGATCTCACCTTCCAGCTCATCTTTAGGAAGCTACCGCTTACTGAGTTTGGGTGCAGCATCAAAGAAAAGGGCGCTTCAATGATCTGAAAAGGCTATTGACATACTTCTCTCTTTTCCAAAAATAGCCGGAATTTTCTTCATGTATGACACAAGTCCCCAAACTTATTTGGCCTACTGTCTCCTCTTCAGGAAAAAAAAAAATTACTCAGCACCTCCCTGGCAATGAAAGACTTTTGTATTATAGTTCATCGTCTCAGAAAAAGTGTAGGTTTCTGCTCGTGCAGCCATCCCCACTGGATCATTCCAGCATTCCTTGTGGGGTGGCATCCCCCACTTTGGTAAACAATGACCTGTCAACCAAAACAATATCTCACAAACAAACAAACAACCTCACTGCCCTCCCGTCCATTACAACTCATAGTAACCCTATATAGGATGGGGTAGAACTGACCCTGTGGGTTTCTGAGACTATAACTCTCTAAGGGAACAGAAAGCCTCATCTTTCTCCCTCAGAGTGGGTAGTGGTTTCAAACTGGTGACCTTATAGTAGCCCAGCCTATAACCCACTATGCTGAATATCTTGGGGCATATTAAATGCAGAAACAGATTTGAGAATCCAGCTGTCTTCTATTAATTAGATATTAGAGAGACCTGCAAACATGCCCAATAATACCTTTTCCTAGCTGATTGAAATTTTATTTTTGCATTAAGATCTGACTTGTGTTTTGGAAATTTTATTTTTGCCTTAAAAGGTGCTTCATGTTTCTATGCAATGGGCTTGTTGTCATTCTAAACAAATTCGTGTTTTTAAATGTTTGCTTACATTTCTAATGACTTAAAAGATCAACCATGTAACAAGGGTCTCTGGCTTTCTCTTTGATCAGAAGGGAGTCCTCAGAACAACAAGGAACCCGCTCTTAAACTGATCCCCCGCATGGACGGAGTTCAGTGACAGAGGCCTCTTTAGGCTTTCTGTGCTCGGGTAGAAAATACACAAGAGCTGCGGTGACTAGCTTTGCAGAGCTGAACAAGCTTTCTCTAAATCACTGTAGCAACTGAAGTCCTGCCTGCCAGGGGGAAACCTAGGCAGGAAGGGGCAGCATCGGCTTCCACAGACTATTTTCACCCCCGAGAAAGCCGATTTTGCCCACAAGCCATCTCTCCCAAAGTTCTTCGAATGGCGCCCGTGCTCTTGTGTTGTTATCTGGAATACTTCATATGTACCTGATTATCCAGTCATACCAGAATATGGCTATACGAGCAAATATTGTTACTGTCTTTCAGCAGAGAAGTATGTGTGGCATTTGCATGGTGTTTGTAAAAGAGATCAAGGCCTCCTAAGAATGCATCTTTTAAATTATACCCAGACTATGAAACAGCCAGCTTGGATCTCCAGGGCGCAAAACACAAACCGTGTGGCATTCCATCAGCGGTGTACACTAGGATGCAGCCTGTATGTCGTTCTGCAGCGCCGGGGGCTGTGGCAAGAGGACACCTGGTTTCACACACAGTATTCCAGGTAGAATAACGACACATACCACCCCTGGGGTGTCGGGGGAGAAGGCTGTGGAGGAATGACATTTCACTGCTGCGGCCCCAAAGGAAAATCCAAGGGCCATCTTTATGCCCCATTATTCTACACAGGAGCGCTCAGTGAGCGAGGCAATGGTTCAGCAGACAGGTCTGGCTGCATTTTTTTAAGAGCTAAGTTACAACTTTTGCATGTGCTTCAAGTCTTTCCTATGTGGGATACACAGACGGCCACGAGCCATTTATTTCTGTCACAGAACATGTGCAGCACATAGAGGGGGCCTCCCCTCATCCTTACAGGACACTCTATCACATATAGCTCTCTCAGGGACAACCAGCTCCCTTTACCTGCTGATCAAACACACCCAAGCAATTCAGTTTTTCTCACGCTGAAACTATTGATACTTGCATTCTAATTGTAACAATTTCATTGTATGCTCACATCTTTCATTTATTTTTTTACCTTTGTGTGTGTGGGGGGGGGAGTTCATACTGGAGATCAGAAATGCTTCTTACGTCGGCCCGCATAAGAAAGGCCTGGCGATCTACTTTCAATCAGCCTTGGGCACGTTCTGGGCATACGGTCTCACTCCTAAGCTAACATGGCGTCACCCGGAGTCAGAATCCACTCCACAACCACTTCATTACTTTAAATCACTCAGGTGGTGGCATAGCTTTCAGTATAGGTCGTGTGCAGTCTACACACCACCATGCCCTAAACCAGAGTTTCCTACCAACCACCTTATCAAGGAGACAATCTGGCGTTGCTCAGAACACATGACGTTCGTGTGTAGAGAGGGCCGCTGGGGGAGGGAACGTTGGCCCTTGACTCTTAACCTACAGGTTGATTTGAACCCCCTCCGAGGCCCCGGAAGAAAGGCCTGGAGGTCTGCTTCCATAAGAGCACAGCCTCGCCAGCCCATGGAGCACGTGTCCTCTAGCACACGTGTCGTCTAGCACACAGGGTCGGCACGTGTCGGGACAGACGCCATGAGCACGGGTTTCTTGTTTTATGGTGTATAGCCCCACCCGGGATCCAGGGGGGAGAGCCCCATCCAATGTGTAACTGTCATACTTAGAACGCTCACCAACTCAAGTGGGTGGAGGCAACAGGTTCAGAACCACGACCCTGAACACAGAAGCCGAGAGGGATTTAGAACAACTCTTACTCAAAAGCAAACACGCTGAAAAGGTCCATGAGAATGAGCCAGGGTGCATGGCCGACTCGCTGGACTCCCAGAGCCACATGCACAGATGCCTTGTGGTGTTGAATCTTAGGCCTCAGTTTACTCTAAAGATGTCAGCCTTTGAAATCAAAAGGAGCAGAGAAAATGACAAAATTTATTTTCCTGCATCTTGAAAAACAAACAAACGATGAGGCAGGTTTTACATTAGAAGGGCAGGGGAAGAGTTTGGAACTCACAATAACAAGCTCCCTGGTCATACCGATGTAACCATCCTTCGATTAAGGAGGCTCTAGTCTGCTGTGTGAGCCAATGGCATAATACTGTACTTCTGCTAAATCACCGCTTCGAAGCTACACTCACTCAGGGTATGCCGTATAAATGAGAAACACTTGCTTCCATAATGACGATTCCGGCTCCCAGGGACCCTGTAAGACAGTAGAATGGCTGCTTAGGGTTTCCAAGGCTGTCAATTGTAGACTGCCTCATCTCCCTCCTGTGGAGCAGCTGGTGGGTTAGAACTACTGTGCTTTCAGTTAGTAGCCCAGTGCTTCACCCAGACACCTGTGTATAAGCCCAGTGCTTCACCCAGACACCTAAAACACAAAACCAAACTCACGGCCATCAAGTAGATTCCAACTCACAGTGACCCTATAGGAGAAGGCTTCTGAGGCTGTAAATCTTTATAGGAGCAGAAAGCCTCGTCTTTCTCCTGCACAGATGGTTTCAAATTGCTGACCTTGCATAACCCAATGCAGAACCCATGACACTTCCAGGGGTCCCGGTGTACAAACTCAAACATACTCAATTCATTCTGGCCCAGGTTGATCTTTCTCCTAACTTATATACTCATTCTCCAGTCTGGCTCCCTACTTTTGTGTCAGTTAAAATATACATCTCAGAAAGGAAATACAGGTTTCAAATACACAATCCATTGAGTTTGAAAATTGTAAACAATCATATAACAGCCCTTAAAAAGAGAGCATGGTCATCCCATCTGGCCAACCTTGGATCCAACTCTGTAGCTTCCCTTCCACTTTTTCACTGCCCTTTATGACTCTACAGAAGCTTTTACTCCCCTTCAAAACAGATCCAATTTTACTCACATTCCTCCATCTACACGACTGCCACTTTTAATGCTCAGCCTTCACCATCTCCCTTTGAACAAATGCAGTGGAATCCTCATGCTGTTGTTTTGGGTGCTACCCAGTCAGTTCCAACCCATAGCGACCCTATGCACAACAGACACACTGCCCATTCCTGCACCATCCTCACAACTGCTTCCATGCTTGCCCGCACTGTTGCAGCCACTGTGTCGGTCCATCTCATCAAGAGCCTTCCTCTTTTACACCACTCCTCTACTGTACCAAACATGAGGTCCTCCCTCCAGGGACTGGTCTCACCTAAGAACATGACCAAAGCATACACAATGACCAAAGCATACACAATGAAGTCTTGCCATCCTTTCCCCTAAGGAACACTTTGGCCATACTTCTTCCAAGACACATTTGTTTGTCCTTTCGCCAGTCCATAATACTTACAATATTCTTCTACAACACCAAAATTCAAACACAAATTATTTTCTCTTCCTAAGTTGGTCTTCCTTAGTCAGAGTCCAACTGTCACATGCATTTGATGAGGCCATTGAAAATACTATAGCTTGGTTGAGTCAAGTGCACTTTAGTCCTCAAAGTAACCTCCCTGTATTTCAACATTCTAAAGAGGTGTTGTGTAGTAGCAGATTTGCCCAATGTCACGTTGTCTTTTGATCTCTTGACTGCTGCTTCTCTACTTGAATTCTCTACATCGCCTCTATCCCGGGTGTGCAGCTTATTAACTATACGCTGGCTGTTTGTCTTTTCTCACAGAACATCACTTTCAAGACCGTGGGATTTGTGTATCGTGTTCACTCCTATGCCTCTAGCTCCTGCCACTGTGCCCAGCTCATTCCGAGGAGACACTCAAGAAACTTTTGATAAATATGCTAATATACAGACAATGCAATACAGGTGCTTATACTGATGATGGAAATTGTTCTTGTCCCAAATACATGATCACCCATTAAAGAGAATAATAAAGTTACTCCTAGTCATCCAACAAGGCAGATTCTTTATAAGAAAGAAAAAGGAGGGGAGAAAAGGGGCAGTTTTAATTAGGGACAAAAGAATGTAAGGCACAGTGTAATGACAAACTTAAGTCAAAGTTTAAGTCACACAAAGTTTTAATCAGGTTAACGAAAATATCAAAAATTTGAGTTAGTGTTTGGCAGCATCAATTTTTGTTGCAAATAATACAGTATTTGGTGTTTCCATTGTTAACAAGCTATGCTGCAGAAAGAGCAATCGCATTAAATCTTAATTCATCAGGGTCACGTTCCATAAACTTCTTGCAAACTTGTATGGCGTCCTGTAGGGAGAGGGGGAGAAAAGGCACAATTCTTTTAATTTATCCACATGCATTTACTTACAAATGCTAAGCATTTAATATTTTTCTAACTCATACTAATTTCATACTGTGCACTTGTTTTTCCGGATGAAAAATAACGCCTACAAAAAGAATGAACAGTTGGTAATTTTGTTGCCTTATTAATACAAAAGTATATAATACAGAAGTGTTCTTTGTTAGAAGGTCCCACTTTTCACCTGAAAATGATGTACTTTGTTGACTGAATGTCCCCCCACACACACGTTTTAAGGCTTCACAAAGCACGGTCATCTTAACAACTATTAGTCTCCTGGATTCAGTGAGACCTGGCATTTGCTGGGCTACCCCCAAGGATTCGGCCTTTTCCACATTGGACGCCTGTTCACGCTTTGGCTCTGAAAATTTCCTCTCAAGCTGATGGAGAAGTACAACATTAGTTCGCTTTCCATTTGGGAC